CATATTTTTTAAGTTTTACTTCGTTTTATAAAAGCCTGTTTTTAAGATGTATGCCTTTTATGGTTTAATATGGTAATCTGAGTCTTACTACAATTCAAGCATATATAAATCTTGATAAAGGATTATGATCAGCACAAACAAGACCCACTGAGCAAAAGTCAGACGTGGCAGCACGGTCCGAGCATAGGAAACACTATGCCTGTGGTGCGGCTGAAATACGTGCAATACCATACCAGAACAACAGAACACTCACCAAAGCCAGCGGCAGTCGCGGCCGGTAAGTACGCGATACGTCTGCTGAGAATATGTTTCCAAGTTTTAAGGTTTAAGGTGCGTGGAATTACCAGGGTTGATAGCGAATAACTGTACTAAAAACTTGAAACAAGCCCTGCCGACCCTCCTACAACCCCCACCTGCAAGTTTTTTAAATTCTAATTTTTTTTTTAAGACTAATTTTAAGACTAATCAGGACCGTCTGAAACGTAAAAAACGAAGTTTGTGCGCCTTTTATTCCCCTTTGTATTGGCATTTTTTTCTTCCGTTACTGGATGATTTTCAAAAACTGCAAAGTTTTTGCGTCCTTGGCATAGCAGTAATATTATTTAAAAATTTCATTAAAATCCGAGCGGTTCCTCTCAAGTTATAGACCGTTGTAATATTAACAGACTAACAGACAGACCGATGGAAATGAGTGACATGGTTTTTTCGTGATCTACATTTCATATAACATCCAAAAAACATAAATCTCATTTTAGCATATCTTTGCGATTACAATACTTCCTCGCCAGTAGGTATGGGAATTAAAAAGATCGTAAATCCGAAAGTGTTTGGATGTTATCATGATCATTCACTGGAAATAAAAGTGTAATGTCACTCTCCACCTCAATCAAGGTTATTAACTTTAAATAAAGTGCTGACCTACTCAACTCAATTTTAATTTGATGCAATTCACTTCTTCTGTGTTATAGAAAGCTTCACAGAAAAACCCATGTGGCCTGCAAAAGCTATGTAATTTTAAGTTGAAACTTCCTTTTTCGGTCCGTTTCCGTCACGGTAAAAAATTACTTCCATTATTCCAGAGTTTAATCTCATAATCCGCTTTGTCGTTGAACGGATCATGGGGACCAGAACGGTTTTAAAATCGGAATTGGGATATTAATCTTTCTAATAAATTGCATCAATTTCTGGTGTCGTGAAGGAGGGGGGGCACTCGCAACGGCTGGGTTATCACATCGCATACAATCATTGCCCCAAGTCAGTTGCGTTGATTACTCTGGTCTAGGCTAGTAAATGAAGGATTACCTTATGAAAATATGGCCTTAAGTGGATTGACTCTGCACTCCCCACGCAACTCTGCCATCAGTTTATGAAGGATTAATTTCATCACAAGCTTCAGACATGAGTAACAAAACATTAGATAGATCACGTCAGTCAAACAGGCCCATACAATTAGCTCATACTTCATAGTTTTCACACATTTGATAACGCTAACGCTAGTTTTTTCCTTGCTCAAACTATCGACCGTCCGGCAACGGAGCTGAACTACCGGGGTTAGAAACGTATAAATATACTTCCGCAAAAAAATAGGGACAGCGTGCCCCACCCTCTAGAGTGCTTAACCCTCAATTCAGACCCTTACAAGAGTTGTTCTGAAAAATGATTAGGAGTCACTGAAACGTCAAAAAATGAGGTTTGAGCGATTTTTGTTTCTTTGGTCTTTTGCCCCTCACCCCGCCGCCACTGCACCGACAAACACTACAAACCTTTTTGGTCCTTGGAATTGTATGTAGTTATCGCGTATGAAAATTTTATCAAAGTCCGAGCGGCACTGTCCCAGTTATTGACGGGCCAGGGATTAGCGGGCAGATAGACCGTCAGACAAACCGTCGATTTACGTGTCATATAACATCAAAAAAATATAATATCTCATTTTCGAAATCTTTAGCGATACGAACACTACCTTGCCTGTAGGCGTGGGAGGCAAAAATGATAAATAAAATATCAAAGTTATGTGTGTCGCTCATTATTTATTGACAATCTGATGAAATGGCAGATCGATGTTGGATACAACATCTCAATAACCGCGAAATGTACAAAAACTAAAATTGAGGCATCACAGCGAACTATTCACAGCTTTGAAGATTTTGACGCTGCCTTCAGTATACCGGGTGTTTCAGTTTATTGTTGCATAACTTTAAGATTCGATAGAACTTTTAAAATTAATGCATAAAGTCTATATAAACATGGGTCGACAAATGCGTGGCTTCCGAAATACAGGGTGTTTAAATTTACTTTCTAAAATAGTTTTTTTTAAATATTTCGAACAATATTTGATGTATAACAGTGAAAATTGGTATACAAGGGTTTTTTGGTACGACAAAACAAACCAATGGCATAGTTTTACTGTAGCCGCTAGAGGCCACTCTCTACTGTACCTGTAGTGCATTAAAATGACCGAAAATATTTTCTTAGTGCAATTTTTTGCTTTTTGAACAAAAAAACTGATTCTTCGCACTTTTCTGCATAAAAAAGCTCTCCTGTGAGTTTTCGTTATAGTTAGCCGTTTTTGAGATATTTCGATTTTTAAGGTTCGATGCATTTTTAATTAAGATGGGAAAATAATATTTTTTTTATATTTTCGATTTGGGCATTACAAGTAATTAAGATGATCGTTTAGATTGTGTTTTTGAACACAGCAATAATTCCTAACTCCAAATAGACACAAAAAAACAGAATATTAATTTGTTTAATTTTCCAATACTATTTTTAACAAATTAAATGAATATTAGATGCTATTCGATAGTTAGGACAAACGTACAAAATCTAAAGTAGTTGCTCGAAATGTAAACCCAATTGTTCAAGACACAATTCACATCTACGAATGATCGAACGTTATTTTATTATTCAAATAAGGCCTTGTTTCATCACATGCATTCCTGATAATGTCTATTAGCGTATCTCTTGTGGTTACGGGAGTCTGGTACACTTTTTCTTTTAGAAATCCCCACACAAAGAAATCTAATGGATTTAGGTCAGGGGATCGTGGAGGCCAGGCGACTGGTCCTCCTCGGCCGATCCATGTTTCTCGATAATTTTCGTCCAGCCAGTTTCTAACTATTCTCGAATAATGAGCTGGACATCCATCAAGCTGGAACCTGGCAAATCTTCTTAAATCTAACATAACATCATCCCACATATTTGCATGTTCAGCCTTTAAAAATTCCAAGAAGGTCGCAGCATTTAACCTTGCAGGCAAAACGTAGGGTCCAAATAGTCGATTACGGTAGATACCAATCCACACGTTCACACTAAATTCATGCTGAAAATTTCTTTCCCGAACTGCATGCGGATTTTCATGCGACCACGTCTAGTGAAGCATGACTCATCGGTCCATAAAACGTTACTTAAAAACTCCATATTATTATCAGTTCTATCAAGAATCCACTGACAAAATGTGATTTTTCGTTCTCCGTTCCCTGGCTGTAGTCCTTGCACAGGTTGCAAATGGTAAGGACGTCTATGGTCATTTCTAAGAACACGGTGAACATGGCTTGCTGAAATTCCCAAGGCACCAGAAACTCTCCTAACACTTGTGGTCGGATCTCTATAAAACTCACGCAGAATCATACGGGTAAATCTGCGCTGATGAACATTTATGTTTTGATCCCTTTGGAGATTTCCAAAACCATTTTCAATTATTTGGCGATGCACTCTCACAAATACTGAGCGATTTGGATGTCGTCTGTTTGGAAATCTTCGTGCGTATTATCTAGCTGCTTCTGCTGCGTTTCCATTTACAAAGCCATACACAAAATGAATATCCGCTAACTCTTGATTGGAGAATAACAATGGCCATTTTTATAAAACTTACAAAAAAGAAACAGGTAAAAGAAACTAAATTTCATTTTAATACACTACAGGTACAGTAGAGAGCGCCCTCTAGCGGCTAAAGTAAAACTATGCCCATGGTTCGTTTTGTCGTACGAGAAAGCCCTTGTATACCAATTTTCACTGTTATACATCAAATATTGTTCGAAATATTTAAAAAAAACTATTTTAGAAAGTAAATTTAAACACCCTGTATTTCGGAAGCCACGCATTTTTCGACCCATGTTTATATAGACTTTATGCATTAATTTTAAAAGTTCTATCGAATCTTAGTCATGCAACAATAAACTGAAACACCCTGTATATTGAATATATTGATTTACGTCAAAACTCAACTGAACAATTTTAGTTCTATACATTCTGGAATTTATAATACCAGAAACAGAGAAGTATTGGAGGTGCTGGCACATAGGTTGTCTAGAACGGAGGAGAGTACCAAATACATGGGAATAAAACTCTTCAACAAACTACCCATTGATTGTAAATCACTACCGCTGATATTATTTAAAAAAAGAATCAGGCATATTTTACTTGATAAAGCTTTCTACTCTATAGAAGATTTTTTAATGAGTGATAGTCTTTTTTAATTGTTTTAATGTATTGTTCAATTTTAATTTGTTAATTTGTTGTTTTAATTCGTTTTCATGTTTATACACTTCGTGTTTTTATTTGATGTTTTGAATGTTATTTATGTATGTAGGCAATTCTGTTTATACTAATATTCAATCGACTTACCCTATATCACTTTGTGATCCACAGGATGAATAAATTATTATTATTATTATTATTATTATCATAGTCATCATCATTTGACGGAACTCAAATGGCAGAGCAATGTCTGCTTCGACTGATACATTTCTCATTTCCCGCGTCTTGTTGGCAGGCCCATGCATTATTAAGGATACTAAGCCGTGGCTCGGTTTCGGCACGCCGAGTCTGGTTTCCCACCAACCGCAACCGTTCTGTCAATATTGCATCACCAGGCACCTCGGCAGCTTAAAGTTTTAACCCATTAACGCCCAAATTAAACTTGAACATAGAAAACGGATATTATGCATATAAGGTAGGTTATTAGGACTAAAATAAAAACTAAATATCATAAAACCATATATATTTTATTATTTTTACCAAAAAAATATCTGTACTCATTTGAGTACAAAGGGCGAAACCGTTTATTTTGTATGATTTAACTTGAAGCAGGCACGTTCAATACGTAGTGTTGACGAACCATTGAATGGCATACTGTACTATACATTGTAATTGCTTCTCTGGTTTCGCAGGAAAATGTCCGAATTTATGAAGGATCTCATCTCTTCTTTGGTGTCGAGTATTTTGAGATGCATATAACATGGACTGATCGACAATATGCCGCAAAACCATATCATCAAAGAAAAGTTCAAATAGTTGTATTTAAATCCTTTATCTCTTCCACTAGTTTATCCCTATTGGCATTCAATTCACATAACGGTGGCGGCTCAGACCAAATGGAATATTCAGGATTGCATTTCTCCCAGTCCAAGTCATCGTGTTTAGATTTATTTAGGTATTTGTATACGTTTTCGCACTTCACTCAAATGCTCTTCGTCGCTGCTTCAGAACTCGTCATTAGCTGAACTTTGGCGAAACAGCTATAAACGACCAGAAACATCTTGTGGCATTCCATTTGCCATCAGTTGCTTTTCGTCCAATCTCTCCTCGTCAGTCAAATAACGCGCGTCTGGAGGCAAGACCACAACACGATCGTTATCTTTTAAATCATCTCGAGCATCAGGCAGAAAATTGTAATACTCGTATGTTTTAACAGGATCATCAAAAAACGGTTCATACATATCTAAAACAAAAAAAAAATAGCATTAGTCGACTGATAACGAATTTGCCCAGTGTACTCATTTGATTACAGTCAAACTTGAACATATACTAAGTGACATATAAATCCGGACACCCAGTTTAAATGGTTTTATTTTAATAAAAGTTGGTGAATGTATTTATCTTACTGTAAATAACAAGTTAAAAAATTTTCAGCCTTATCAGTTGGACATTCCGGTTTTTATACTGCTTTTTTTTAATTCACTAACGCTCTATAAATGAATATTTCAGCCGCAGTAAAGAATCAACGTTGGCGGATTTTGGTTCTTGACATCCTTTACGATCGGTTACGATGCCTGGAGTACGGAGACCTGTACGATTTCGTCAACTTAGTGAGTTTGATAGGGGCCGTATAGTGGGACTTCGGGAAGCTGGACTTTCTTTTCGGGCAATTGCAGTTAGAGTGCAAAGAAGTGTGTGCACTGTGGCTAGGTGTTGTCAGGCATGGCTTCGAGAAGGCCGTACGCAAAAAGCAAGGAGCACTGGACGCCGCCGTAGAACAACAGACCGTGAAGATCGCCGCCTAAGATTATTGGCCTTAAGGGACCGTTTCTCCCCTACCAGGTCCATTGCAAATGAATGGTTTGCAGAACACGGAAGACCTATTGGCATGCGAAGTGTTTACCGACGAATGAGAAGTTTTGGCTTGTTTTCATACCGACCACACTGGGTCCTCCCTTTAACTCGAGAACACCGACGTAATCGCCCTGAGTGGTGCAGACAACGGTCACTCTGGGATCAGGAATGGAACAGTATTATCTTTAGTGACGAGTCTCGATTTTGTTTAGGCATGCACGATGGTCGTGCCAGGGTTAGAAGGCGACGTGGTGAAAGGAGGAATCCACAGTTTTTGTTGAAAGACATGTTCATCACACTGTTGGAGTTATGGTTTGACATGCTATAGATTATGGTTCCAGGTCACCTTTATTTTCATCAGAGGTAACATGAACGCCATCTTTTACCCTATCTTGACACCCTGGCAGATCCAACTTTCCAACAAGATAATGCCCGACCACATCGTTACCATGGCCACCAAGATCTCCCGACTTATCTCCAATTGAGCACGACTTATCCCCAATTGAGCACGTGTGGGATATGATGGGTAGGAGATTGCTCAATTTGCAACGTCCTCCTCAGACTCTAGAAGCACTTCGAGAGGAGTTGGTGGTTGCCTGGAATGAGATACCACAGGAGGACATTGACCACCTGATCAGAAGCATGCCTAGGCGCGTTGGAGAATGCGTAGCACATCAGGGTGCATCCACACATTATTAAAGGTCAAAGGGTTTTAAAGCAGTGCAATCATTTTGAAATTTTTATCATTTACTTATTATGCTTCATTAAGGACTTATACAAAATTTTATTAAAATATAACCATTTAAACTGGGTGTTCGGATTTATATGTCACTTAGTATACATTCTAATTACATCAAATCAGTTAAAATAATTTATGCCCGGCAAATCAAACAAACAACCTTTACATATACATGATATAAAAAGATTATGTTTATTAGATGGTCACCTCAATAAGAAAAAATTATGTAAAATCCGAACTTACCTTAGATCAAATAAGCAATAACTTCTATTACTGTAAACAACGACACACTCACAGAATTTATGAAAAATGACTCTTGCGCCCTGTCGCATGTACCATCTACAAATGCTTATAAAAGGCAGTACTTCTGTGGTTGACGCAGAGATGGCTCTGATAGGAACAAACACGAGTGTACTCGCTTGAGTACAGCGGGCGTTAATGGGTTAATACGAGGCTCGCCTCAATGAAGGTATTCATCGAAATATGCTACTTTTATTTTTCTAACGTTGAACGACGCTCTTATTCTTAATAAGTCATGGAGATCCAGTCTGGAGTATTGTTGCACATTTTGGGCCCCTCCTGGCATGATTGATGCGTTTCAGAAGAGGGCTGTCCGACTAATCTGTGACAACAACCGACGCTTTCAAATCGCTTGTCGATGATTTGTCTCTCTTCTGTTAGTTTGCTAATGTGTTCTGTTCTGTGCTCTTTCGAGAGTTCTTTCATGATGCCGCTGCCCGTTTGGAATGACAGACCCGCCAAACTTTCGCTGCGTATTCCAAGCATGTCAAACTCCTTCCAACAAAAACTAGCCGCTGCGATAGATACTTTCCTCCTAGGCAATCTATCCGAAGATTTTTTTCTCAGTGCAACTCTCCTAACAGCTTAAGCATCCCAAAAAATGGATCGGTCAGGTATCTCACACATTTTCAGCTACCGGTACTTGGGCTTTTGCCTTCGTGGCTGCTTCAATATAAAAAGGAGACAAGGCTTGAATACTGCCATCGAGGAGTCAAACGCTGTCAGCAATCTGTCCAATAACGGGAGATATTTTCCCAATGTTGCTGTTGCCTATTATTTCCCAAGAACTCCTCTGGTTTCAGAAAATTCCCCCATAATTCCTACTAAGCCCTAAAATTCCGTAATTACCCCAATTCCCTGCTATTTCCAGGAACACACCAAAATTCCTAATAAGAACTTCCAATGATCAACGAATGCCCCCTAATCACTGATAAAACGGGGATTAAAGGGAATTAATTCATTTTAGCATCTAGGTGTATAGAATAAAAACGACTTGTTTCTATGTACGTAGTGTAAATTAAATTTTGATAAACGAATCGAAATAGAAGCAAATGTGTTTATACTGATTAAAATATTACAACTGTACAATGGTCAATTAAAGTATACAGATACTCGCAGGATTTACTTAAATTCATATCAGTACACGTTAACGGATATCCGCAATGACACATTTTTAACATTTTCAACAATTTCCAGAAGTGTGATTAATTTAGTAGCATTTTAGCCTATTAACTAGCTCGTTATTAGACATTTATTATCGGTTTCCTAATACATTAAGGTGTATTTCAACCATTTAACTGTATGTGACACTGAATTTTTGGGTCACTTCCTAGATCTTAGGGAGATGTATGTCATGCTGAATCACTTCATTGGGAACATAGTATTGTATATCGGCGATCATTCTCTGAACTCTGTTCTGGAACTGCTGAAGGATGGCAATATTGCTGTTGCTCGCTGTGTCTCATAACTGAATGTCATACTATAAATTGTTGTCCAATAACAGTTTAGATTTCCTACCGATAATCCAATACAGTTTGATGCCCATTTGTTTCATTTTTAAGAGAAACTGCATTTTCTATGGAAGCCTTCCGTCTAAATGGATACCGAGATATTTTACACGATTTGATTGTGGAATTTGTAAATTATTGATAGCTACCGGTGTACAGATGCTTCTACGTAACGGGAATGTTACATTTTATACGTGGACTTTCATTAACGTTTATGCGCCATTTCTTTAACCAGTCCTCAATGTAGAGGAAGTTTCGCTGGAGATATTGCGGCGTTACGTCTGGATCCTCATGGGATGCCAAGCCGTATCATCTGCAAATGTTGAAGCATACATCATTTGTAGTTGGTAGATCTGCTTTATACAGAAGATAGAGAGTGGGTTCTAAAATACTTTCTTTTGGGACTCCTAAATCAATAGAGTTAATGGAGGTAGTTTCGGTACCATGCTTTGCGTAGAAGAACCTATCTGCCAGGTAATGAGGATAAGAGAGGAGTTTAAATCATCTGAAGTAAGGGCGGCCTTCATGTCAAACTTTGTCAAATGCTTGAGATACATCGAGAAAATCAACTGAAGAGTATCTTTTGTTGTTAAGATCCGCAATAACTGTATCCAAAATTCTGTGCACTCAATAGTACCATGTTTCTCCTGGAAACCAAATTGATGGTCCAGTATTAAGTAAGTTTTGTTAACAACTTCCAGTAATCTTTTTATGCATACTTTTTCAAAAGTTTTTAAGAGAGCACCGGTAGTAAACTTACTGGTCTATATGTCGCGATTTCATTTGGGTGTATTCCTGGTTTCAGGATCATTTTTATCTGGGCAATCTTCCAGCCGCAAGAGCAGCAATTCATTCGAAATATAGTGTTAGATATAAATGTTAGGAGCTTTATGGATTTTGTAGATAATTCATGTATATTTTTTTCTGTGATAAGACCAAATCTAGAAGCCTGATTTATGTCTATCTGACTCTTAATTACACTCAGTACTTCACCATGTTTAATTTTTGTGTAATCCCATTTAAAACGATGCGTCTAGGAGGTCTGTGAAATGATTCTCCTCTTCTTCAGTGCATTATATATGATACGTCCTACAAGTGTTCAGCAAAAATGGTCGCCTTTTCAGTATCATCTTTTGCGCAGAACCATCGTTGAGAAACGGCCATTTGATACACCATGCTCAACTTTCAGTTTATTTTGGGTGATTTTTACTTTTTAAATGTATACAATCCCTGTAATACCCAGCGTAACTCGCCGTAGTTCCTCTCAGTGCTTGTCAATCTTCCGTAATGCATAAGCATTCCTTCTTATGGACAGGAGACATCCAGCCTGTCGGAAGCCAGTAATTCTAAAATAGCTACATTATGTCCGAAGTATGAGTGCTTCTGTAGTCCGACACACTCACCATCTAAGGCCTTAGCCATTCTCATTGCTCATTCATTGCTAACTTCTTTGTTTGCTTTTTTGGCATCTCAGGTCTTGTTCGTAGACAGGATTGCAGCACAGTTGCATTTGTTGCAATTTTTTGACACAGTCAAGTGCAAAATCTAATCCTAGGGGCCAGTTCTACAGCAGTATAACAAGGCTGTGATCAAAGCCCAGTAGATATTGTTGGCTTACCGGTTACATTCGCTACAACTTTGTTGCAATCAGTGAAACAACACAACAAGGCCATTTCAGAGAGAAGCAGTATAACCATATTTAACAATTTACGCAAAATTTGGACGTTTCCTCTGAATATTATGTTTTTTTTTTTGTTTCGTTATTTATTATAATTTGTGGGGCGGTGTCGCAGAGGGCAAAAAATCCCTAAAGAGACGAAGCGTGGAAACAGCAATCAGTTGACAAGGCGTTTTGTATGTTTTTCCTGTGGCGATATTGCTTAATTTATATATTTCCGTAGAATTCGCTTTATTCGAATATTACTTCCAAGCTCCTACAAGTCCGACTTCCACGTAGTTGTTGTATACGAAAACTTGATAGTCCGCCGTTCACAACGTAACAACAATCTACATCTAAGTAATATAATTCCCTTATTCAATAGTGAGTCTGTATCATTTAATGTAACCTCTAGGCGTTCTAAAGGTGCTTGTCCACAGGTATACGTTGGACTGTTTACAACAGATTGATTACTTTATGGTAGGATGACCACTGAAACCACAGCATTCGGATTGCCGACTTGGTACTATTTGAAACTGAAACCGACGCGGTCGGAACTCATGTTGTTACAACTGATGAGGTTCATGCGAATTAGCTGAAGTACTAAAATCTGCTTACTGCGAATAGTGAATGTGATAAGGATGAGTGAGCTTGTACCTTAAGGGCTATGTATTGTTATTTCAGAATACAAGGAAAAGCCGATAATTCCATCTTTTCAGCTTTTCAATTGTACAAGTACTTACAGTGTAATTTTTCGTCGAGATTGCCCCTCGACGTGACTGATAGGGCTCTGATAAATTCTTCAAACTCTATCGAACCATCCTGGAACAAAAACAGAACATATATCTAAAATATGAATATAGAAGCATTGCCAAACTAAACATAAACATGCAATATGCGGAAATACATTCAGCTTTTCAATTTATATGACATTATTCCTATATATGGCAAAAACAATTTTCCAAATAGAGATAAATGTGAAACATATTTTAAATATATTTCCCATATTTTTGTGCGAAACCGGTGGGTTTGTTGTTCATTAATTTTATTAGTCTATGCTATATAATTATTGAATAGAGGTCAAACGGTTTCAATTTTAAATATGCTGGGTGGTTCGTTCACCGTAACTAAGTTTCGTCACTTTGCAATTCAAAAATGTTTACTCATTGTGGCCTAGAACATGATCCTCTTGTTACTTGTCTATTTTAAGGTCAACCTTATCATCGACATCCGATCCTGAACTTTTGAATCAACTTTCAAAGTCAATGTCAAATTTTAAGCTCAAACCAAAGAGTAGTTTTTCCAGCAGATGACAGCTATACAAGGTAAATAAATTATAAACAGAGTTAAGAGATGGAACTCCGAACCGCTGAAGGCGTTTGAACACGTGCTGTTCTCATTTTGGTCAGAGACAAAAGCGTTGTTGCCTTACCTACAAGCTTGTTACTTTTGGGCGTATACAATACAATTAGGTTAAAGCTCAAACGTCCAGCGTCGTGTAACCAGAAGTTATTCTATCTCACACTTATTTAGCTTTTAATTTTACTTCAGTAACAAAAGAGCATTCTCAGCTTGAAATTCTACTTCCTGCTAACCTCAGATTGCTAATTAAGATGATATGTTTACTTATTTCGTATGACTCTTGAGGTAACCACCTAAACCGTGAAAAGAACTTCATTCAGCTCAGTATAAATGCAGCGTTTTCTGAATACTTTATGTCAGTTTGGGAACACCGCCTTGGTACATGCAGAATTGCCTATGAGCGAAATGCGCGTCTCCTTAGCAGAATGACGAGCCATATATCAGCGAATCGCCAACCTAAGGACGGTCTACTCATGGATCGCCGTTTTTCTGTAAATGAGTAATAACCAAGAGCTGACCGCAAAGTCTTGATTACATCGCGAAATGACATAATATGTTAAAGACTTGATTAGAGCTTAACATATAGCAGCACGTGATGATGTAACAAATAAATTGCAGTCGGCTCACCTACTACAATGCTGAGAAAGCCTAAGGGCAATGGTACCGACCGACGGATTATAAAGACATTTCTGGAGGCGTCTTCTCCTGATAAAACTATTCTTTGATCGCGTCATAAATTTTATAACAACCAAAGTGAAATTACAATATTTTTGTATTGGCGTATTGGTGAAGGATGTTCTATGAGCTTTAGCATAACATCTAGCCTGATATTGTAAATGCCGCATATTATGCGTACTCTGTCACTAACTAATAAATGCGACGACTGTAAATTGATAAGACTGACAATGTCGCGTTCGATCTGGCAACACCGGAGATGCCGGACTTGGAGGGGAGACAGGGGAACATGTGATCCGCTTGCGGTATGAGCTCAGTTTGTACTCGCTCGAGTCATTTTGTTGCCCGTAGCGATTTCTTGGTGAATCAGTTTTTCCTATTGTGTTCTAAAAATGAATGACATCAGTTTTGAGCAACGGTGTGCTATCAGATTTTGCTTCGGACTTGGGCATAAGGCAACGGATACTTCAGCAGGTTTATGGCTTTCGGAAGTTTAAGGCATTGTTAGAAGAAAAAGATTGAAAATGAACCACGAAGCGGAAAGTCTCCATCTTGAAGAACCGATGAAAATATCGACAGAATCCGGGAGGTTGTGTGCTCAGATCGTAGATTGACAGTCAGAATGATCGAAGAAAAGTTAAATTTGACTCAAAGCATCGTTCATCAGATGAAGAACAACTGGGTGGCCAGTGAAAACATTCCTGTGGCTCCCCAGCCTCATTACTCGCCTGACTCAAGTCCTTGTGACTTTTTCTGTTTCCAAAAATCAAAAATCACCTCAAGGGAACTCATTTTCAGTCAAAAACATTCAAACGGCTGTAACCGACCAGCTATGAGCAGTTTAGGAACCGTCTCCAGGGCTGTGTGGCTTCAGAAGGATGTTTCTTTTGAGAGTGACAAGGTAAAATTGTAATTATATGAAATGGAAAAAATAATCAGTCTTATCACTTAATTTACTGACCTCGTATGGCACTCGTCCTGCATTGTAAAGGCTGGTATCGCCTTTGCATAAACACTAACACGAAAAACATCAAATGTACCACCTCTGTGGTAAAACAACGCTTCATCTGCAATGAATAATATTCTGGCAGTGCAGCTGCAATCCATATATTGCGTCGCAGCTAGCGTATGCCTTTCCACTGTTTTTTCATGGGAAGCATAAAGCGTATCTACTCGGAGCCACTTTTCAAAATGAAAAATTGATTCGGAAATGGAGAAGTCCCATACGTACGTGTATCGTACTGGTTGAAATTTACAACCACCTAGTCGTGACCTTCTGAATTAGTCGGACACTTATAGACCTGAAGTTTAATGTTTGTACATTCTATGCGAGGCCAAAGATTGTGCTATACAGGGTGTTTTACAAAAATGTGGCAAAAGGAGTTTCTATAAACATAGTTCCTCAAATTTCCTATTACCAAGATACGGGGTGTTGTGAATTAATACGTCACTGATGAGACTGGATAAGGACAAACCACTCAAATATGGTTATGGCTAGTTACGAAATTCCCAAGTTTCTAATCCACTGGTGTAGTCTCATCTACAGAATTTTATTGGTATTGGCTATGATGTTCAGCACTTCATATAAGAAATTTGAAGTCAACATCTTAATCAATTCCAAAAATATAATCTTTTTCGATCACGACATATTGCCTCATCCTGTATAAGTTCGATATATCAAACATTCAACATGTTGAAAGGACCTTAGTGCTCTTTTTATTATAGGCTTTCCAAAGTTTTTTTTACTACTATTTTGCAGGGTGTAAAAAAGTCAGTAGAGCTAGTCTGTTCACGTCTCAACATGACAACAAATGGCAGCTATCTAGTGTCATTCAAAATATTATATAACGACAAGCGACACACCACTCTGATGCATCTGTTAACGCCAAATTTTTAGACACAGCCGCATTTTATTGTATTTTTTACGCTACAGACACACATTTTCTAACAACCCTTTTATTTAGAAGAGCCTCGACGCACAAAAACAAAACGAAAGGGAGAGACAAGACAAAGATAGCACTTGCTGATCAGCTGTTCACCTTGATGTATCTGAAACCCTGATCAAAAATCGTAAAACATATTATATGCTGACAAAAGATCATTGAATTGTAGAGTTCGGAAGTTATTCAAGAAAAACTGATTTCAAGTAACGTGAGCTGCATTTAGGAACTACTAGCATTTTTGGTGTTCTATATGCATGCGAAATACTAATTCTGAGACGATGTGTATTTTCTTTAGTTTGAAATTAAGCCTTCAGGACATTATCAGTTAGTCGTACGTTAGCAAAACTACATAATGATGTTCGTATCCAATGTAAATACATTTGCAAGAGTTTAATTAAAAGCAGATGAAAACTGGTGCGATGTATAGAGACAGACGTAGCCAGGCAAAGCGCTATCCCCACAATAGAATGGGTAGAATGTCATTAGAGAAGAGCTTTTGGACATTCTCTCAACACTTTTCCAAGCGCCGTGAAAGTGCTATGGAACTCGTTTACAGGGTGGTAACAATTTATATAAACATTTTGAACAAATACAATGTACAGATAGACATACAGATGCAAAGCACTGCTTCAACAGAACGGGAAAGATGTAGTTACAGGAGATATTTTGAACATTTGCTTCCCGGTTTTCCAAGCTTTATGGAAACGATTAAGGATGTACTTATAGGGTGGTGCAGAACACTAAGCAACTGTACTTTTCTGGAGCTGCACCTAGGAATCCATCACGGGAAAGACGCAACATGTCGTGGACTAGTTATAAACGTAAGCGCGAAGGAATTCGGAGAGACAAGCCGATATCTGCGGATAAGCTGGAGAAAACAAGACTAGCAACGACTTCCTCTCAGACGATGAACCTGTATGATGTCACGGTAGAGTTTGATGCTTCCAAAAACGTACAGTACCTTGACTAAAAGAAGCGCCCTAGCGCTCATCCGGTTTCGATGGATGGCCGAGTTCTACCAAATAGCCGTTCATTTCGGCTGGTTGGAGTCTAGATCATCAAGGATTTTACCTCATCCATAGCGGCAGCTGCTGGGAAAAAGCTAGGCTATTTGTTTAGGACTAAGAACCTTCTCACACTTTACAAGGCCCAGATATGACCTAACATTGAGACTGTTGATATGTTTAGGGTGCTCAAGGCGATTACGTCGGTGTTCTCGAGTTAAAGGGAGGACCCAGTGTGGCCGGTATGAAGACAAGCCAAAACTTCTCATTCGTCGGTAAACACTTCGCATGCCAATAGGTCTTCCGGGTTCTGCAAACCATTCATTTGCAATGGACCTGGTAGTGGAGAACCACAGTGTCTACACTTCTTTGCACTCTAACTGCAATTGCCCGAAAAGAAAGTCCAGCTTCCCGAAGTCCCACTATACGGCCCCTATCAAACTCACTAAGTTGACGAAATCGTACAGGTCTCCGTACTCTAGGCATCGTAACCGATCGTAAAGATGTCAAGAACCAAAATCCGTAAAAGGTTGATTCTTTACTGCGGCTGAAATATTCATTTTTAGAGCGTTAGTGAATTAAAAAAAAGCAGTATAAAAACCGGAATGTCCAACTGATAAAGCTGAAAATTTTTTCACTTGTTATTTACAGTAAGATAAATACATTCAACAACTTTTATTAAAATAAAACCATTTAAGCTGGGTGTTCGGATTTATAAGTCACTTAGTATATTTTCATTCTGTGATCTTCCATATATTATTGGACATGTGGCAACCTAAAGTCTATCTTGGATTACCCTATATAGCAACATATGGCACCCCCCGAACAGCCTGAGTCC